GTAGCTTCCCCCCGACCCCCCAAACACTACAGTATTGGCTACTTCCAAATATATGCATGTATTTTATAATTTAGAGTTGCAGTCTGTTAGCTCTTCCAAATGTTTTATTTTGTCCTCAGAGGTATTGAGGTCTCTGATAGCTACTAGAAACATAACCAAATAGCTAAATTTTTTAAAAGAAACTTTTAACAAAAAACATCTTGATAATCCTGAAGAGAAGAATTTGTCAGAGTCAAATGGATTAAAACATTTTTTTTTCTGTTGTGGTAAACATGAAATACTGAAATCCTTTGTGTCTCAGATTATAGGAGTTCTAGCTTTCCTTGCTAAATACGTTCTTCAGTATATGTAGGGAAGCATATCTGCTGTTGACACATCTGCTTCATTTTTTAGTTTTTTTGGGGAAAAACTATAGTTTCCAGTTGCCTATCCACTAAAGCTGTATTTTCTGAACTGAAAACATGTAGCAGAAAGGCAGCTTTCACTGAACATTAAATAAACAGTTCTTTTAAGTTGCTGGAAGTTTCAGTGTATATATACTTCAAGAAAGAAACAAAAACTTCCACTCAGATTTTAGGTTTAGATTTTTTCTTCTAATATTAAGCTTGGCAAATACAGCAAAAAACCCTCTTCCTCTTCTGGATGACTTTTTACTAGGGGTGGTAAAATACTTTTAATTAAGTAACCATGTAACTCCTGAAAATGGTCAGCAGTTACACGGGGGAGGGAGGTGGGAGGAGCTTTTAAGCCAGCTCTCTGTGTATACGGGCTCCTGCATGTGCGTAACAGTGAACATTAACCCCTGAGCCCAGGCTCATTGGTTAACCGTGTACACAGTTACACTTTCTTATTCCTATTTTCTACCTCTGTGTGCTGAAACAACTTGCCTTAAAGACCAGAAAATTCTAAAAAGGCAAAGGGAGAAGAAAAAGATAAAGGGCCTCTTGAGAAAGGGTGTTCTTCTTTCACCTTAGCAGCAAGGGGAAGTGAATCTTAAAAAAAAAAGCTAAATCATTGGGCCTTTGGCTTATCTTCCAGCTCATGTCCAACTCCCGCCTGCATACTCACATCTCAACATCTCTCTACATATGTCCAGTAAGTGGAGTAAACAGCAGAATGAAGAGCAAGTTTTAATTTGAGACTTTGCGTTTCACAGCAAATGGGTAGTTTAACATTTGCTAAATCTGAGGACTTTGAAAATACAGCTTTATAGTCATTATGGAAAAATGCTTATGATTATAACCTTTTATTTTCTTGTCATCTAAAGTGTGATAGTCATTTGTTCTATTGTTCAGATGTGCCTTTACTTTTTTTTCTCTCCAAGCAGCTAGACATTTATTCTCAATGTTTAATTAGAAAATTTGTCAAATCAGCAGTTTCAGGGAAAGGACACATTGTTATAAAGATACAAATGTAATGACACTCTCTTCTATACTAACTCTGTTTCTCCTTCATTACAGAAATGAGCCGTCAGACTGCTACAGCACTACCTACAGGTACTTCAAAGTGTACGCCATCGCAGAGGGTGCCTGCTCTGACTGGCACAACAGCTTCCAACAATGACTTGGCAAGTCTTTTTGAGTGTCCTGTGTGTTTTGACTATGTGCTACCACCTATTCTTCAGTGTCAGAGTGGCCATCTTGTTTGTAGCAACTGTCGTCCCAAGCTTACATGCTGTCCAACTTGCCGAGGTCCACTGGGTTCCATTCGTAACTTGGCTATGGAAAAAGTTGCCAATTCTGTACTGTTCCCATGTAAATACGCCTCTTCTGGATGTGAGATAACTTTGCCACACACGGAAAAAGCAGACCATGAAGAGCTGTGTGAGTTTAGGCCTTATTCATGTCCATGTCCTGGTGCTTCATGTAAATGGCAAGGTTCGCTGGATGCTGTAATGCCACATTTGATGCATCAGCATAAGTCCATAACAACGCTACAGGGAGAAGATATAGTTTTCCTTGCTACAGACATTAATCTTCCTGGTGCTGTTGACTGGGTTATGATGCAGTCTTGTTTTGGCTTTCATTTCATGTTAGTCTTGGAGAAACAGGAAAAATATGATGGTCACCAGCAGTTCTTTGCTATTGTACAGCTGATAGGAACACGCAAGCAAGCAGAAAATTTTGCTTATCGACTTGAGCTTAATGGTCATAGGCGGCGATTGACTTGGGAAGCAACTCCTCGATCTATTCATGAGGGAATTGCAACAGCCATTATGAATAGTGACTGTCTAGTCTTTGACACCAGCATTGCACAGCTCTTTGCAGAAAATGGCAATTTAGGCATCAATGTAACTATTTCAATGTGTTGAAATTGCAAGCAAACATTTTCAGGCCAGTGTTTAAAACCATTGCATTTAATTTTGCAGAAACTAGGGTAACTATCTTTGACTGCCAGACATAAACTATTTGATAGAGGGAGGCTAGACATATATGAAGGTAAATAAAAGGAAAGGCTGTTAAATTACGGAAGCAGTTGCATGTAGTAACACTAATATATTTAAAATAAGTCAACAGTAAACCACTGAAAATATATATACACCCAAAATGGGCATCTTTTGTATTAAGAATTGATTCTACAGGAAATGTTGTAAAATAGTTCTAAAAACTTGTTTGTAGATTGATTGTACTGTTGAAAAGGATACTGTTGTGTTTTTTTTGTTTTGTTTTTTCCTTTGACTGACAAGCCATGTTGAGCAGTCTGGTCTCTTGCCGCTGCTTTTTCCCCTTAAGTCACTACATAGTATTGCTGCTGTTTGTGTATATTTTTTGTGTATTTGCTAATTTTTATTAACTTCTAGTTTTTCATTAAATAAATATGACTTTCTTTTCTGTAATTCAGGTTTTCCTCCTTTTTGTACCTTTTAAAAAATTAATTGCAGGTGTCATCTTTTGGTATGCATAATTGCTTATGGTAAAACTTATACTTCTGTAAATTTGGTAAGTTTGTCTCTCCCCAGTAGTCAATTCATTGGTGATACTGTCCTTAATTCAGCTATTTTGTGAATGTATTCAACTCTAAAGGAGCAATTACATTGGAAGAATTATCAGAAAAACAGCTCCTAGATGATGATGTGCTTTGTTATACCTTCTAACAAAACGGATGAGTTACTAAGTAACATCATAATTAAATAAGCTGAAAATTCAGGCATACTTTTCAAATTTAGACACAAACTCACAGTTGTGTTTTGGTTTTGCAGTACAAGAAGGCATTATATTATGCAGTATTTGTAATTATAAAAACAGGCCATTTAAAAAAAAAGAAGGCAGTCTCAGAATAAGATGTTTTGGTCTTTTTATAATTTTGTCATTAAAAGAATACCTGGCAAACAAAGAACTCTTGGTTTTTGCTTTAGCACCAAGTTTGACTAATACTATAACTCAACTTTACTGGTTTGGTATCCTTCATCTGATTGTTACTAGAGAGAACCTAGTTAATTTTCCTTAATCATATAAGTCTTGTATATCATCGCATTGTGTTATTGACATGAACTGTGTACACCCAAAGGCCCACACAATTCTCATGCCTTTAAATGCAAAGGTGGTATATTGGGCCTTTTGCAGGTTGCCTGCAAATGTGAGAAATTCACCTTGAATGTATGTCTGTATACAGCACTGAGCTAGTTAATGTAAACAGGAAACAATGTAAAAGAACTATTAAATCTCAAACTACTTTAAAGATGTCTCTTTGCTGAATTTGGTAGCTGTGTACATATGCTATTGGGAGAAATAGGATGGATATTAACTACTTTTTTATAACAGTAAAGTACAGTTTATTTACTATATATAAGCTTGTCTTAACATTCTTGTTGGAGATTGATCCATGTTAAGACAACTCATTAAGTTATTTTAGGTTGACTAGGTAAGTAGTCATACAAGCAAGGAATGAACCAGGATAGATTTACTAGACCAGCCAATACAGGAATAGTTATTTTATATAGATAAAGTAGTAAGCTTTCAGAAACTTAAAAGAAAATTGTGATGTTACACTTTTCAAGATTATATAAACTTCAGAAATATACTGGCATCTTATTTTTTAATCTTCTGTTACACTTTGATCTTGAGATGAATATTTGCTGTGTCAATTATCTAAATGCAGACTATTTAATTTTACCTACATTTATCCCAATTTTGCTCTTGCTGTACCATAAGATGTTAGTGTACTGTAATTGCAATGTGCTGGGTAGTAGATTTTAAATTCACTATTTAAATGTTTCTCATTATTGAAAATTATTCAGTTTTAATTCTTTTAGAGGCTGTTGATAGCGTGGACTAATTTCATATCTGTATTTTGGTTTGAGTAGTGGATTAACTCCTATTAAAATACGTAGGTTTGGGACTTGTCCAAAATGTGTTGGCAGGATGTTTACTTTGTGTTTTAATAAACTTCCTTAGATATTACAAGTTCTACATGGTGATATGGCAGGGAAGGAGGAGATCACTCTATGTTTGGCTGATACTAATACAGCGATGGGCAATCTAGGCTCGATAGTGGGCCACATGAATGGCCCTCCTTCATTTCAGTGGGCTGCAAGATTTTAGCAGTCAAGATGGTCTTCTGGGACAGGATAGTTTTGCTAACTCCCACCTAGAATTTGTGGAGTGTTGTGGATCAGCACTCCCACTTTGGATGCAGAGAGAGTGCACTGATCTCAGTCAATGCTTTGTGCAATCAGGACGCACCTCTCCATGTGCCCTTGCTTTACATGTGTGTCACTGTAGTAATACTAGTAGGAAAATAACGACACTTACGTAAACCAGTGGAATTTCTCAACTGAAACCCTGTTGGATTGCACGCAGACCGCGGGCTGCCCACCACTGTGTTAATACAGTCTCCAATGTTGTAGTTGGAATTCATAGAAGTGTTTGGTATGTAAAGTTAGTGGAAGTCTAATGAATTGAGGAATCAGAAATATGATTTAAATATTCCTGATCTATGTAATAAAATGTCATTTATTTTTAAAGTAGGTTATTTTATGTGCTTGATACTTTATTTGCAATTACTTTGCTATTAAGGAAATAAGCATTACAATTCCTGGTTTATTGTTTGTATTTTAACCAAACACAACAGTCAGTAACCCTCTACCAATCTGGAAACTGCCAGGTCCTAGAAATGAAAGGGTGGCAACTACATTTTACACTACTGCTTAGTCATTTGCTACAAATTTTATCCAGACTGCTTTGGACATACTCGTGGGGTATACAGCCTCTCTCCGACTTATGAACCGGTTACGGACCAAGCAATTGGTCGTAACTCGGTTTGTTCATAAGTTGGACCCCATTGAGTTACACGCGACCATGCTGTTCGTAAGCGCGGATCACGTTCGCAACTCGGGCTCCACCATTTACGACAGCTTTGGTCGTAACTGCGAATGGTCGTAAGTCGACCGTTCGCAACTGGGGGACCGGCTGTACTTTAGTTACAGAAATGTCAACCTTGCTTTGAGAGTGCTTGTGGTGCACGCTACAGTAGCTGGCCCCCCTCTGTTCTCCATCACACCCTGACCTCTGCACATAACCCTGGAGAAACAACAGGAAATCTGCCCTTCTATGCTGCTTACAGTTCTTAATTAAGTTGGCCAGGGGCAATCCTTGTCCTCTTTCTCCCCCTCCCCCCCCCAGCCTGTTCCCCCTCGCCCCTGCAGGCTGTGCACTAGGGAGAGGCAAGTTGTGGTGGGAAGCTGAATTCACTGTTCAAGCCACAGATAGCATGTTGCACTCCACTTTCTCCATGTGGATCTTTCTTGCATACTCCAGGTACCTGCAGTATGTTAATATAGTTCAGCAGTGTCTACTTGGAGCAGTGAGTGTGCAAAACCGAGTCTGTGGCTTGGATGGTGAATTCCACAGTGTCCCAAGCCTCCAGCCCTTCATAATTGATCCAGCTTGCCTCATATCAGAGCTCACTGCAGCAGGTGCACCGACATAGGTGGTGGAAAGGAACAGCCTTTCCCTCATTCAAGATATTTATACTGTGTAATGGTGAGTGACATGACTGGTATGGAAAAAGTGAATAAGGAAAAGTTATTTACTTATTCCCACAACATAAGAACTAGGTCACCGAATGAAAATAGTAGGCAGCAGGTTTAAAAAAAAAAGTTTTTCTTCACTCAGCGCACAATCAACCTGTGGAACTCCTTGCCAGAGGATGTGGTGAAGGCTAGAACTTGAACAGGGTTCAAAATTGAGCTAGATAGTCATTGATGGACCTAACCTCCATGAACCTATTAACCAGGATGGGTTGAAATGGTATCCCTAGCCTCTGTTTCCTTGGAAGTGGGTGACGGGCTGGATCATGTGAGGATTACCTGTTGTGATCCCTCCCTCTGAGGCATCTGGTATTGGCAGACAGGATACTGGGCTAGATGGACCTTTGGTCTGACCCAGTATGGCTGTTCTTATGGGACATGCATATACTTGAGCTTGTAAAATTCATATATTGAAGCCTAATTTCTTAATTGCATGCTAAAAGGGAAGGTGGGGAGGAGGAAGATTACAAAAAAAAGAATTGGCATCTTTGAAGGAGTCACTAATGCATGAGGTAGCACTACAGGTTAATCTGGTGTCTTCAATTCACCTCTGAATTTAGTTAAGGGTGTAACTTTTCTCTGGGAGGTGATCTGGGACTTGCATTGAAAGTTTGCTAGTATATATTTAAATGTCATGCATACAAATGGTTTTGGTTTTAAATAACAGAACATTAGAAATGCTAACTAAAAAGTTGGAAGCTAGTGCCAAGCTTCCAAGAAGATACAAGAAAAAAATGATGCATATAACAGGACACACAACTATCTACCAAAAATGCAACCGGATGAGAGAGACTAAAGAGATTATGTACATCTGCATTTATCTGGTACAATAAATTAACTTTCTTGAGAAGGGGTTGCTTTAGAGGAATATGTCAGCATACTGCTGCTGCTTGTATTTTTAATAGGTAAACAGGATATAGGTTCTTACAACCTTAAAGCTCCGAATCTACAATGATTTGTTTGGGACAGTAAAGAATTTTAGTATAAGTTTGAGATAAACCTGAAAGGTGAGCGTGTAGTGATCCCCACAAACAGTTGCTCTCATCAGTGGCCAATTTTAAGTTTTTGGGTTTTTTTTTAAATGTATGTTATAATTTAGATAATATTGCTTCCAAAGTTATGGTTCTCCCTTCTGCTCCCAAACATTTAATGTCATTCACCAGAATGAGAGTAGTTATACTTGCTCTCATGAAAGACCTTACATATATATTGAACTTACAAAAATATAGTAAAATACAATTTATTGGAATGTGATGGGCAACTCTATACAGATATCAGCGTGCATAGTGCAAACAACAGCTTCTAACATCTTAACCAATGCAAGGAATGTCTGAACAAGGAAACATTAAGGCTACATCTAGACTGGCATGATTTTCGGAAATGCTTTTAACAGAAAAGTTTTCCGTTAAAAGCATTTTGGGAAAAGAGCGTCTAGATTGGCAAAGAGTTCGCGTTAAACGATGCGCTTTTGTGGAAAAGCGTCTGTGCCAATCTAGACGCGCTTTTCCGCAAAAAAGCCCCGATGGCCATTTTTTGCGGAAAACAAATGTGGGCTGTCTACACTGGTCCTTTTGCGCAAAAGTTTTGCACAAAAGGGACTTTTGCCCGAACGGGAGCAGCATAGTATTTCCGCAAAAAGCACTGATTTCTTACATGAGATCGTCAGTGCTTTTTGCGGAAATTCAAGCGGCCAGTGTAGACAGCTGGCAAGTTTTTCCGGAAAAGCAGCTGATCTTCTGGAAAAACTGGCCAGTCTAGACACAGCTTAAATGTTAATGCTCACATTTGACTTCCCAAAGCCTATGCACCAGCTGCTTGTTTTTATTAATCACAGTAGAACACATTAAAACAGATATTTGGATTAAGATTAGAATTGTGCAACAGTTTTTTTCTTTGTATTGAAAAAAATATACAGAAGAATCTTCATTCTATTATTTTAAATGGAGTATACTTTGTCCAATAGAATAAAGTACACTTTTCTAATGTAAATAGCAGTTGCTAATATGACATTTCCAAGCACTTTAAGTAATGCTATTTTTAGATCCGGTGGTATCTAGTATATAACATTTAGCATAGGTCATTAGTATTATCATTCAAAGTGTTATTCGGATCATCATAATGTGTTCAGATAAATGAAGTTTTCAAAGCTATGCTAATAAAATTGTTTCCTGTTGTGATGTTACCTACTTAGGGTAAAAATTAGTTTCTGGGCAGAGGGGAGAAACAGCAACTGCATTATTACAGCTTTGCAAGCCTGGTTCTCGTAGTGCAAGTGTGTAGTCAAAGTAGAAGGCTTCTTGAAATGGCACTAGACAGCTGACACACCATACTACTAATGCCAGTATTGAGTATCAATTACAACGTCATTGCACTAAGGTGTTATTTGATGAATGTAAGTTGTGACTTTGGAAGGCCTTTTCTGTTTGTATCAAGAATAGGAGGCATGTGGTAGTAGGAAAGCATGAACAGCTGAGTGCAATAAATAAAATACAAGTGTCCTTAATGCAAAAAAGTGTACAGGTTGAGATGTTGGCATGCATAACAAAATTAATTCAGCTATTTAGATATTATACTATTTAGATTTTAAACTATTAAAGGATTTTTTCTCATTGGAAAACAAAGCACATTACAGTATGTACTTCTCCCAAGTTCAATGAAAATGAATGCACTTGCTTGCAGTTCAGCATAAAATGCAGGATTTCTGCTGGGCTCTTGCACTCAATTGGTAAAACTACATTTGTATCTATGCAAGAGGTACATTATGCAGCAGGTTGGATTCCTAGGAAAACTGAGTCCTCAATAGCATCTATAGTTGCTATGAAAGCTGATGGAATACTATAGCCCTTTTAAAGCAATACTTTCTAGATAAATCAACCACTTACAAAAAATATATCCATCCCATGCAGAATTTATGAACGCACCTACTCATGGGTGTAAAAAATGCTTGTTCAAATAAAAAGCTCCTACAGTGCCTTCAGACTACTTGTTGTTCCACTTGTTACCATGTATTATTGTAAGGGCTACTGCCTTGTCCCATCATGGTCCTGCTTTGAGCAGGGGGTTGGACTTGACCTCCTGAGGCCTCTTCCAGCCCTATGATTCTATGAAAAAAGGGGCAGCTGAAGTAGGAAGCTTTCAGAGTTTCCTGCCTGTCTGGTGGTAGGAGTATAATGTTACAAGCTGCAGGACAACTTTCTTTAATCAGCACAAAAAATGGTAAAAGTTGCAGTTGGTGTCTGTTATTGATGTGATGTTAGTTACTACGTGTTTTCATAGATCATACGCTGGAAGCATCTTGTAGCAATTTTTGGCACTTTCCTGCTTTGCAGACCATTCCAGTGCACTTTTGAGGGCTCATTCACACCCAGGAAATAACTAGAATGATAGACCTTCCTGTTCTAGAAGTTTACAGGTAAGAAGAAACTGTCGTATTTGTCTTAATTCAATCTTTAGCTGTGGTTTTTATGGCTGTATTCCAAAGTTCTTATGAGAAACCCTTAGCATAACAAGGTAAGATGAGGCCTTCTGATGAAAGGGAATTTATACCTTTTAATATAATTAATAGATCAGTTGTAAGAATGCCACTGAACAATGCAGGATAGTCCTCCTATAATCAACAGAAAGTTTTAGACCTTACATGCTTCATATACAGAAGGCAGGTGAAGCAAGATATTTTGTAGTGTGTGCTTCATTGTAATTTCCCATTGTGATAGTTATCCCTTTATAGGAGACACATGTTTGCCTTGAAGCCTACACCTTATTATAGTTTTATGAGCATTTCAATACTATCCATTTATTACAATTAGTTTGCAAGAAGTGGTCAAAGCTTTATTCATCTAATACCAAACAAAATTTTAAGTTATAAGAACCAGTATTGGTACAATATTTAAATCTATTCCTGACCTCGCAAAAGGAAAGTAACATTGAAATGCCTATTCACAGAATATAATAAACTTCCCCATTATTTGAAAAAGATGCATAGATGGCTGTAATGAAAAACTACAATTTCCAGGAGGACAAGAGTCTAATAGATTCTTTATAAAGGATATAGTGGGGAAAAGAAACTAGAATTTGAGGGTATGCTTTCTATACTCTGGTTCTGAAAAGTTTTATCAATTGAATTTTTGAGCTTTAAATGTTCTTTTTTTCATTTGAACATCCAGCTTCTCCACAAGTGAGTTCTACCTCTCCTTTCTCTCTTTTCCCCTATCCAAAAAATCCTACCTTTAAAAAAAACTCATCTGATCTCTGAGGAGGGTTTTAGAAATTCTAAGAGCAAATAAAGTAAAATACCAAATTTTGGGAAGGGGGAAAAACAAGATAAGATTGAGTCCTCCTAACATCCTTTTCCAAAACTCCACAATAGTTAATTAAGTCCATAATTTTCAGTGAACATGCTTTGTGCTCCATCAGCATGTACACAATTTTGAATAGGTATTAGTGTGACAGTCTTCATTATTATGGTATCTAGTAAAACAGCCTGATTATTGGCCTCAGTGACTTTAACATTAGTAAAAAGCACTAAAGTTTAGACATGAAACCTTGAAACTAAATTGATCTGCATAAACCTGAGCTATGTTTTTATCAGAATAAGACAGTGAAGAGACCAGTCTAATGGAAAAATCAGTGATGCCAACCAGGAATTCAAATTCCATTCCTGGCTCTGCTGCATTGAGGTAACTTGATCCTTATTTTTAAAAGTACCTCATGCCTTTTTCAGATGACAATATAGGCTCATATTTTAATCTTTGCTACTGCATAACCGACCTGAACTGTTAGGCAGTCAGGCGTAGAACCTTCTGTACAATGTGCTAGACCAGCAGTTCCCAGAGCAGGAGGTAGGGGGTGCAAAGGAGGAGAGCATACACTACTAATAGCTGCTCCCTGTCTGCATGGCTGCTTTTGGCAAGGGTAGCTCCTCCCCCCATGGTAATGATGGCTGGCCAGGGCTCCCCCCCTTCTAGCCATGGGGGTGCAAGATGCACTTGGGGTGGGAGGAAGCACACCACAGCCACGCTCCCTCAGGTTGGGGGGGGGGGTTGTCAAAGGATGGTAGGTGGGCTGGCAACAGTCTGCATATTCATCAGTTGCATGATGAATACGCAAACTTGCCAATCCACAGCATAAAATAGGTTGGGAGCCACTGTGCTAGACAATACTTCTCTCATGGCTATTATTAAAATGGGGCTAACTAAGACATGCTTCACAGAAGTTATTAAACAGTATTTGTAGTCTTTTTTCCCCCCCAAAAATACTATATTCTCCTTACCTGCTTTGCTTTTGGATTTGGAGTCCTAGCTCCCTTATTGTGAAGGAATAATTTTGGTGGCATCACTAAGTGAGTCCTACCTCCCTTATTGTGAAGGAATAATTTTGGTGGCATCACTAAGTGAATATTTGTGTCTAGCTGTGCAACTCCCAATTAATAAAATCTTACATTTTATTACACAGCTACAGGCTTCTCCCCTCCCCCCAAAGTCCATTTCATTTATCACGTGTGTTTAATATTGTGCTAGTGTGAGAAACTCACTTTTCTCCTACTTAGAGATGGGTCACAAGTCAAATTTTAACCTGAAATTTTACCTATTGAAAAGTTTGAGCCCTGGCCACAAATTTCCTAGCTTTTTGTATGTTAAGTTTTGCTAGAAAGTGGCTGGCTGTGTTTAAAAAATACATAACTGAACAAAATAGGGACTTTGGCAGGGCTATTTGAGCACAGTTAAAGGTTATACAGGCAGTCCCCGGGTTACGTACAAGAGAGGGACTGTAGGTTTGTTCTTAAGTTGAATCTGTATGTAAGTCGGAACTGGCATCAGCTGCTGCTGAAACTGATCAGTTTCAACAGCAGCTGAATCTGGACACCA